ACACGATTAAAAATATTAACATACTTTTAAGAAGATCCTCAACATCATCAGGATGTTCGAAATAATTCGGGTCGACATTAGGAGGCTCGAAGGGACTATTGGACCTGAGGGTGACGGCGCCGCGGCTCCTGGGAACCTGCAGCATAATTTGGACGTCGAACCCGTCCCTGCCCTCGTAGGGGGCGTAGTAATCCTGGTAGACCTGCACCATACCGGGACTTGGGGTTACATGTATCCTAATTTGAGGATGAGGATTTGTGCTATAAAGTGGCCTCAACTGACGAAGATTTAAGCTATCAGGTGGCCTCAACTGAAGAGATTATCGCAAAAACAAAATTGAGTGTCGTAAAAATCTTCAATTCAGAGCAGTTACCACTCACACTAAAATTTATTTACGCAAATTTCATGTGAAGATGAAATTTAAAGACCAATTTTTCCATTTATCGTACCTTAACTACTGAATTGTTTATTTCATAACAAGGCACCTCAACTTTTCTCAATTCCATAAATACGAGCACAATATCCTATTAGTTAAATATTAATTCTTTATTTTTTAATTCGTTTCTATGAACCCTTCATTTTACCCTCCAGCGACCAGCTACTTTGCAAGTGCAATATAATCTAAGGCTAATAGGCTATCGCATTGCTGAAATTTATTTATTGAGAAAATCTGACGGGTTACAAAAATCTCCACTTGGGCACAGCGCAGCCTGAAATTATTTGCAAAACATTTGTCTAATTGCACGAATGAGCTTTAAATGTAAACAAAAATCGTCTGTATGAGAGGCGACAGATATGTACAGCTAGACGCCAAAGTGTTGAATTACGGACAGACGTAAAGTATTTTTACCTCATCCTTGAGTAAGCGCATCCGCGCGTGGAGTATGCCTCCGTCTCTCCAAATCGGTGCTTGGTTAAACTGGTACATGAGATCAGACATTTCGGGGTCCCCTTCCTCCCCCAGCTTCCTCTGGATCACCCCCACCACAGACAGGGGATTTGTGAGAGGACCTGCTAGATTCAGGGACATTCATGAGATACCACTGGAATTAAAAAAATTTACCAGGAGATTGGCAGTAGCTAGCAAAAGGAGCCTATCGTCACACTTTCCATAAACAGCTTAAATCATAGGTTACCACAATCATTTACCCCGAATCTTACCCAACAAAAAAACTTATGCGGTGACCTGCACTTGTAGTGCAGAGTTCTTATAGGGAGCTACCTTCCCTTAGCTGGATGTTAGGTCAGTGACCTCTTATGAGATAGGTATTGTTTTCTACATAATTTTTAGCGCATATTCTCATAAATGGAAAAAATGCTCTATTGTGCTAGCCCAGTCCGTCCGTCTGTCTGTCTGTCCGTCCGTGACTTCACGTTTTCGTCGACGAGAAACTGCGCTCTTTGTCACTCACTGCAGTGAGTACTGAGTAATATTTTGTAGTGAATATACGTATGCACTGTGGCAAACTTTGTTCGAGGATGTAAAGGTCTGTCATGTGACGAAAGTGTCAGCCCAAATCTAGGTACTCATGATGAGTGTTGAGACTTGATACTTCGCAGGACTGTTTTTTTCTTGAAACTTGACGTGGGTGTTAACATTACACATCATGTATAACAAGAGTGTTATCGTAGCTCATCATGTACAACGCGCGTGTTTTCGCAGCACATCATGTAGAGTGTTGAATAGCGTGAGAGTTGGAAAAATAG